AAATAATTTGCGTGGTTGTGGCAAGCTTTAGGAACTGACATTATATTCAACATAAGGATTTCATGATCTTCCGGAAAAGTTTTTTGCTTATTCCTTTAATTTTGTGGTTGCAATTTTTATTTTAAGATTTCTACATTCTGTCTGACTCCATTTCTTCAATCAAAAGTGTTTGGGATAGAAATGCAATCTGTACCAATATGCTTCTTGGTTTACCATAGCTATATGATCTGTACCATAAGGACCGACTGGGGGCTGTCATCATGTAGTCAATTTCAGTGAAGTCACAATACAAGCCTAACTGTTGTCTTGAGTGCTCAAAACATGGTATTAGAAGTGGAGCTGAAATTGAGTGTTGAAGAGCTATGAAAAAGCACAACTACTAATGGAGAGAGACAGGAGTATTCAGAACTGTGAAAGCTGCCACATGAACTGAAGGAAACCAGGGGGAGAAAAACAATGTAACAGACCACAGTTGAAACACTAGCCAAGATAGTAGCTGCAATTTTTCCCTCGGGTCCAGTCAAAAAGAAGGATAAGATGAAACAAAATTAGCAGTTTGTCCGAGTGCAATGGCAAAATTACAAAACTGCAGCCGATTTGCTTAAGCCAAATTGTTGGGGAGATAACGTATTTCACCTTTAAATCTTTTGAATAACAGAAAGAATACAGATGACAGAAATTTTGAAAGACTGAAAATTTCAAAGTTGAACCCCAAGTGAATGTAACTTATTTAAGGTTTTTGAGTAGGTTTATAGCTCACATTGTGGATGCTGTGGTTGGTTCGCTCGCCAAGCTGGTTCGTTGGTTCCCAGACGTTTCATTAACCTGCTGGGTAATGCAAGGACTGCGACAAACATTACATTGGACAGACAGGAAGAAAATTTGCCACAAGAGTACATGAACACCAACTAGCAACAAAAAGACATGACCAATATTCACTCACCTCCATTCGCATGGATAAGAAGAACCACCAATTCAATTGGGACAACACCAGGATCCTAGGACAGGCCAAACAGAGAGAAGCATGGGAATTCCTAGAGGCCTGGTTCTCCACCAAGAAGACCATTAACAAACACATAGAACTAGACTCTATATATATATATATATACGCCACTGCGAAAGAAAACCGGAAATGAGGTAATCAAATCCAACAGACCCGAGTTTAAATATCAGGCGGGAAAACACAACAGCGCTTCATCGGAGGCTCACTCTTGATGTTACCCAGCAGGGTAATGAAACGTCTGCAAACTAACGAACCAGCTCAGCAAGTGAACCAACCACAGAATGTAACTTATGAATGATATGTGTTTGTTGTTAGGAAAGGGGATCAATATGTGACTTAATTAACTCATCTTATGGAATCCTGTAAATTTACACAACTAAAAACATTCCACTTAAGACAAAATTGTATTAGGCAGAAAAGATTCCTCAGTTAGAGAACATCTATTGAGAGAGGAGAAAGCGACTCTCAGGAAAATGATCAACATGTGCAGAATCACTGAAGTTTAAATTCAGCAGTTGGAGCATATTCGTGGCAGAATAGACCAGGCTTTGCATTATGATGACAGATCCACCTGGAACGTAGGATAGAATAATCATGGACAACGGACAGCATGCAAATACAGAGGACATCACACAAAGAAGAAGGAAGCAACTCGAGAATGGGGAAAGCAGTGTTCTCACTGTAGGAAGTCAAATCCTTTTGCGTCTAAGGCCAGAAGGTAGCACAACAAACAAGTATAGATGGCCATTGGAAAGATAACAGCTGAAGATTCTGATGACTCAGTCTACACCATAGAACAGGTTGGTTCAGTCAGGTCAGTAAGTGATAAATGGTTTGTGACTGTTCAAATGATGATTGTAGAAGGAGAGCATTAGGTCAACATAAACTGTTAGATGGACATTGATGCATATTAGAATATCGTCACCTTCACAGACCTGTGTGAACTAGTTCAGCTTGGCAATACAAAATTGAAACCCTGAAAAAAATGGTGCATATTTAAGCTGAGAGCACAGATTACTCTGAAAGCTCAATACAATGACAAGGATGAAATTCAGGAACTTTAGATCATAGATGGCAAGTAAATAAGTCTAAAGTTTGGACCGGTAACACTCACTATGCCAAAAGATTTGCAACATGTTGCAGCACACTAAACAATTGACTATGGAACAAATCTTAGAGGTGTACACCTATGTGTTTACAAGTTTGATTTCTTTCAAGAGAATATCATCTTGAGCTAAATGACAATATAAGACCAATTTGGCATCTGCTGAGGAAAGTCTCAGCTGCCCTCAAGGCTATCCTGAAAATCAAGATAGAAGAGCTAAGTAAGAAGGTAAAAATCAAGAGAGTGACAACCCCTACAGAATGGATCAGCAGTATAGAATCATAGAATCCCACAGTGTGGAAACAGGCCATTCGGCCCAACAAGTCCACACCGTCCCTCCGAAGAGCATCTCGCCCAGACCCGTTATCCCACGCCCGATTTCCCATGTCTAATCCACCTAACCTAAACATCCCTGGACACAATGGACAATTTAGCATAGCCAATCCACCTACCCTGAACATCTTTGGACTGTGGGAGGAAACTGGAGCACCCACAGGAAACCCACGCAGACACGGGGAGAATGTGCAAACTCCTCACACAGTCGCCCGAGGCTGGAATCGAACCCAGGTCCCTGGCGCTGTGAGGCAGCAGTGCTAACCGCTGAACCACCTTGCCGCCCCAACTCAACGTCAATGGTCAACTCATAAAGCCTAATGCGTAATGTTTTTGAAAGGAGCAGTGTTCTTTCAGTGTCCTCTACATGTATAGTAGCAGTTAAACAACTTGAAGCTGAGAGTATGCATCAATCCAAATTATTTAAATGAAGCTCTGAAGAAATTGCACCATCCAATGCAACCATTTGAAGCAAAGTTGCCACAACTTGCCAAGACAGATGTCTTCACTACCCTAGATGCAACAGATTGTTACTGGCAAATGAATCTGGATAAAAACAGTAACTTTCAAATTGCATTCTGGATACTATGTAGAAGCTGTTTGGCATTTTCAAACTCCGGAGGATAATCAACTCAGACAATATAAGATAGTCAGTGATCTTCCTAGAGTGGAAAAAATGGTGGATGTTGATAGATGATGCGACACAATAGAAGAAGCCATTGTCTGACCATGATTAAATTCTAGTTCAACTGCTAGACAGAGCTTACCACATAAACCTGATGCCTACAAGAAATTATCACAATTAATGATGACTGAAGGCCGATATTTCAGCAATGAAATGACAACAGTAGGTCATTGCCGAGATCCTGAAAAGATGAGAACTGTAGTAGCGATTTGGTGATCAACAGATGTGAAAGCAGTGCAACAATTGATGAGTTTGTCAACTATTTAGCAAATGGGCACCCAGCTCATGAATGAAAATTCAACCACTTCACAAAGGATTGGGAAAGTCAGCACATATATCATCTCCCCACTATCCAGAACTGAAATGGAGCCAACATCCTTTGCTAGTGCTCTTGGTGGGAGCTTAATCTATTCACCATTTACATGAATAAAAAGTGTTTAGAGGCTTGTAAGCCAAGTGCAGGAAGGTGAGATCAGTTTAGTTTGCGATTATGGTCAGCATGGACTGGTTGGACTGAAGGGTCTGTTTCCATGCCGTATGACTCTGACTCTATCAGGGGATGAGATACAGAGTGGCGGTACAGTATGGGTAATGCACAGGTAAGTAAAGAAGAAATACCAAATGAGTCTGGAAGGCAGGGCAGATATAGTCAATTGAAGGCACAAGGGAGGATGGCAAGGTCAGATGGCATTTATGTTAATGGAAAGAGTCTTGTGAGAAAGGCAAATGAGTTGAAGTTGTTGATTTACACATGGGAATGATATCATTGAAGGAGAGGCAGGATAGCTCAATATTGTAGGGTGTAGAATCTTCAGGCAAGATGGAGAAGGGGTTTAGGTGGTAGTGTCACAATGTTGATCACCAAATCAATTACTAAAATAAGGAGGGATGACAGTTTAGAACATTCCTCTAATTAGGCCACATGGGTAAAACATAAAAATAAAGGGGCAGTCACATTGCTGAGAGTGTACTATAGAGCCCGAAATATCAGTGAGAAATAAGGGACAGATATGTAGGCAGAATTCTTAGAAATATACAAATAGAAGTGCTGAACAGATGGGCAGAACAGTGGCAAATAAAATTTAATCCTGAATAATGCATTTTTGGAGGACTTGGAATAATTGAAGTGCCATAGCATACAAGACCACGAGCCATGTGCTGGAAAATGGGATTAAAATAGATAGGTGCTTGGTGACTGATGGGGACATGTTGGAGTGCTGTGAAACTTTGACTGTCTAACTGTCCTCAATCAAATGGATAGGCTGATGTGGCACTGAAGTTGCCAGTGGAATCATAAAGAAATTGTGCAAATCCTGCACAAATGTCATGAGAAAGCAAGAAAGCTTACTTCAGTTTGCAGAGAGTTTTTACTGAATGAAGGCATAGCTGTTTTTCCTCTAGTATCTGCTCTAAATTTCACCCAGCTGAAGTAGCACTGTATGAGCCAACTGTTACCACTCTCCCTTGTTTACTTTTCCACTACTCCTGGATGTAGTGGAAATGGCTCTCAAATCTTTATGAAGAACAGGATTCACAAAGAAAATCAATCTCTGCCACTAGCAGAACAAATGAATAAAGCCACTTACTTTCCAGAGTGTAACCAAAGGCAGAGAATGATTCTTTAATGACCATTGAATTTTAACATTTGAAGGCCCTTTTAAAAGACCAAAGTTTATACACCATGGGGATAAATGTAACTCATTCTCATATGTATTGTAGCATTGTAAATCCAATTCGTTTGTAATGTCGAATTTGATTCCGTTTTTGGTTTGAAGTAAAGCCTCGGAGGGATGCTTCAGTCTAAACAGGATGACAATGTATGGAATTGACTGAATTTGCTTCAACTTTGTGTAAAAATGTTTGTACTTCATCAGCTTTTGGATGTGCTGGAGAGCTACTGTATGGCAACTGGATTGGATTACCAACGACTTGATGGAAAAACCAAAACAGAGGAGAGGGTCAAAATAGTGAAGGAATTCAACAGCACACGAAACATCAACATTTGCTTGGTGTCCACAATGTAAGCTGTGTAGAATTTGCACTTTGTGGAATGTTCTCAGATACTTTTCATTAAGAAGTAAATTACTGTACTGGAATTTACAAAATATCACTATACTACATCTTGTATTTTAGCTATACATTTGTTTTTGCTGCACCACAGGGCTGGTGGTTTAGGACTGAATTTTGTTGGAGCTAATATTGTTGTGATATTTGACCCAACATGGAATCCAGCTAATGATCTGCAAGCTATTGACAGGTATGTGGTTTAGTTAATTTTTCTAAGGCCATTCTTCTCCTGAACCTCATAAAATTCCTAGTGATTTATGTAACTGTGGCACAAGCTGACTTATTCTAGTTAGTAGCAACAATTAACCATGGAGCCTTGATTATTTTATACTAGTATATATATTTATAGAAGCAACCATCTTAAAAGTCCACAAGCAAGATCTCTTGGTTCAGTGTTTTTTCTGTAAGGAACCACCCACGTCCCTACTTGGTAAATATTGACACATTCACGTGAATCCAATTTTCAAACTTAAAAGACAGTATGAGATATTCAAAGAAAATGTGTTTTATTGGTATACATAATGTGTACATAACAATATGTTAGTAATTCAGCAAATGCCCAGAAGTTTTACCTTCTCTGGGATGGGATCCACCTCCCTGAGATCCTCTTTCAGACATCTGGATGTATGGGTACAGCAGGTTGAAACAAATTTCATAGAGAGAGGTTTTAATCCACCATGCCCTGCAGAATTGTACAGCTGTGTAGTTAAAATTATCTCAGAAAATGTGCCACCCAGTTTAGACCCACTACTTCCTTAAATAGATCCTTTGTTTAGAAGATCAAATCATCTGCTTCAGGCAGCAGCCTCATTTCTCTACATGAAAACTGGGACTCTATAAAATCACCAACTAAGCACAGCACTCATCACAGTTGTTGCTTCAGTGAAATGTGGTCTACAGGAGGAAGAGGCCTCAGCTTCCCTACCTTGAACTCCTTTAATTCATGAGATCCTGTTGAAAACCCTCCATTATTTACTAGAGCAACAGCAGGCAGCCTCCAAACTGCCCAGAGTTTGCCACCAACAGTCAGACTGTTTCTTTTTTCTGCCTGATTGAAGCAGACAAGATAGATGAATAATATCCAACGTACTTTTCAAATCAGTCATTTTCACAATTTGCAGGTTCAATCGATGTTCAACCGTGATCACTTGGATGCTTGTAAATAATATTTGTGGCTTCACTCACTTGTTCTGCTAGTGGCAGAGACTGTTTCGTTTGTGAATATTTACTGATATAAAGATAACTGAAGCTCCTGCCACCTTCTAACCCATATACCCATGACTGGTTACCAGTGGTGAGAACAAATTTCTGTCTTCAACAAATCAATTTTTTCCACCTCTGTAGAGCATATCGTATTGGTCAATGCAGAGATGTTAAAGTGTTCAGACTGATTTCATTGGGAACAGTTGAGGAAATCATGTATCTGCGCCAGCTTTATAAACAGGTAAGCAATTAATAACGCTCAGTATTTCTGAACTTGTCATCTGCTTCTAAAAATTTTTTTTTTTTTGAGACTTTTCTAAGCAAGCTTTAACACTTCCTGGTGGTGTAGTGGCTAGAATTTGGCGCTCTCACCGCCATGGCCCAGGTTCGATTCCCAGTCAGGGAATGGAAGTTGTGTTCTGCTAAAACTCTCGCTGGTGGCCTAGTGGTCAGGATTCGGTGCTCTAGTTCTGCTCTGCTAAAAGTCCTGAAGAAGGGTAATACCCGAAACATTGACTGCTCCTTTCCTCCAGATGCTGCCTGGCCTGCTGTGTTCATCCAGCTCTACACCTTGTTATCTGTGTTCTTCCAGCCTCCTGTTTGTCTACCTTTGGATTCCAGCATCTACAGTTCTTTTTGTCTCTTATAAATTATAGGTCAGGCAGGTATACTTGTCCCTCAGATGTTCTAAATAAAGCAAAACAATCCCTGGTAAGCCTGTAAAGTAAATCTTACTGGTTTGATTTATTGTAATTGGTAAAATAATTTTAATATTTTAGCATTTTTAATGATGCCAATTTCATACTGAATACTATGCTATATTTCCCTCAACAACTGTTGTGATAAAAAGCTTTTCTTTATTTAAAACTGACAGACAACAAAAAAAAACTTTGAATTTAACTAAGTTTTATATTGTAATGTTATTACTTTTATTAATTCATGTAAAAAACAACATAATGCTAATCTGACGCTGCTGTTGCTACATCATTGCCGATGACAATCCTATATTCAGCGCTGTAGCAAACAGGATTGCACTGTTGCTTTTGAAGACTGCAGAATCTACATAGAGGTGAACTGTTTCCAGAAGCAAAACTCATAGAATCATAGAATCCCTACAGGGCTGAAAGAAGCCATTCGGCCCCTCAAGTCCACACTAACCCTCCAAAGAGCATCCCAAACAGACCCAGACCTCTGACCTATAACCCCAAATTTACCATTGCTAGCTCACCTAGCTTGCACTACTCTGGATTCTATGGCATAATTTAGAATAGCCAATCCACTTAAACCCCCACATTATTGGACTGTGGGAGAAAACTGGAGCACCTGGAGGAAACACACACTGGGAGAATGTGCAAATTCCATGCAGACAGTTGCCCAAGCTCGGAATCGAACCTGGTTCCCTCTTCCTTTGAGGCAGCAGTGCTAATCACTGAGCCCAGTGTAATCTCTGCATTAAAAAATATCCTGCTTTACAATTCTTATAAACAAAGTGAAGAACATCACACTTCCGCATGAATTGAATAATTTAGGAGAGATATCTTGGCTAACAATTTCTCCATCTGTAATCTCTTCCAGGATATCAGTGCTACTTTGATTATGGCCTCTTGAGCATCTTTATTTTAATCACTACATCATTGGTGTTTGTGCCTTAAGCTGCCAAGGTCTTAAGCTCTAGAATAGCCTCTCTAAACGTCTTTGCCTTTCTCCTCCCCTTCCTTTCTTTTTTATTCACTTGTGGGACATGGGCATCATTAGACCCACTATACCGTTAGCGAGATAGGTCCCAGGGTTTTGACCCAATGGCATTGAAGGAATGACAGTATATTCCCAAATCAGGATGGTGACTAGCTTGGAAGGCAACTTGCAGGTTATGGTGTCCCTGTGTGTTTGTTGCACTTGTCCTTCTAGATGGAAGTGATTGTGAGTTTGAAAGGTCTGTCTAAGGATCTTAGGTGAATCTCTGCAGAGCCTCTTGTAGATAGCACACACTGCTGCTACTGAGCGTTGGTGGTGGAGGGAGTGGATGCTCGTCAATGTGGTGCCGATCAAGTAGATCTGGATGGTGTCAACCTTCTTGAGTGTTGTTGGAGTTGCCGCCATCCAGCAAGTGGGGACTATTCCATCACACTCTCTTGACCTGGGCCTTGTAGATGGTGGACAGGCTTTGGGGAATTAGGAGGTGAGTTACTTCGTGAGTATTCCTAGCCATTGTTTGTATGATGAGTGCAGTTGAGTTTCTGGTCAATGGTAATTCCTCAGGATGTTGATAATGGGGGATTCAGTGATGCCACTGAATGTCAAGGTGCGGTGGTTAGATTGTTTCTTATTGAAGGTGTTTACTGCTTGGCATTTATATGGTGCGAATGTTACTTGCCACTTTTCAGCCCAAGCCTGGATATTGAGTTTTATTTCACTTTGACATGGATGCTTCAGTATCTAAGGAATGATGAATGATGCTGAACATTGTGCACAGATCAGTGAATATCCCCACGTCTGATCTTATGATGGAGGAACGGTTATTGATGAAGCAGTTGAAGATAGTTGGGTTTACGGCATTACCCTGAGGAACTCGGATGTCCTGGAGCTAACATACCTCCAACACCCACAAACATCGTCCCATGTGCCAGCTATGACTCTAACCAGTGGAGAGTTTTGTCTGATTCCCATTGACTGCTCTTTTGCTAGAGTTCCTTGATGCCGCACCCTGTCAAATATACCCTTGGTGTTAAAACACTTATTAAAACTTTGACCAAGCTGTTGGCCATCTGTCCTTATATTCCCTTGCATGGTTCATTGTTTTATGATTCCCCTCTGAAGCCTGAAACAAACACTACATAAATACAAATTGTTGTAGGGTTAAAGCAGTCAAGGCTGTGGTTTACTGTCCAATAATTCCTGCTAGGAGTGGATGGGTATGTGTGACTGAGGAGTGATAACAGAGTAATGACCCACATTGGTCAAACAACCTGCTGCTGACATTCAGTTTCAGAGTTCAGCTGTCATTTAGCTCAGTTGGCTAGATGGCTTGTTTGTGATGCAGTGATGCTGACAGCACAGGTTCAATTCTTGCAATTAACTGAGGTCCCAATGGGCCTCAGAAGGTCCCAGCTTCTAAAGCTTGCCTGAAACCACTTCACCTGATGAAGGAGCAGCACTCTGAAAGCTTGTGATTTCAAATAAACCTGTTGGGCTATAACCTCGTGTCGTGTGACTTCTGACTTTGTCCACCCCAGTCCAATACCGGCACCTCCACATCATGGCTACCACATTGTTGTCCACTCACTTGACCTGTTTATGTTTTTGCAGCCCCTTCGTTTCCTTCTCAGCTTGCATTCTTGCTTAGCTTTATATCATCAGCAAATTTGGTATAATACTCTTTATCGCTTTGTCTTATTTGTTAGTATATAACTGAAGGCCTAACAGTGATCCATATGGCATTCCCAACAGTCATAGTCTACCAACATGAAAATGCACCACTTATACCTACACTCTGCTTTCTATCTATTAACCAATCTTCTGTCCATGTATATTACCCACAAATCCACGCACCATTAACTCCATGGTACTTTGTCTAATGCTGTTTTGAAGTCCAAGTATACTGCATCTGCCGATTTCCCTTTATCTCCCCATGCTCAAAAAACTTTGACAAATTTATTAAACTGGATTTCCTTTCATAAACTTTTGTTGACCTGTTCTGATTGTACTATATTTTTCTAATTGCATTGTTAAGACTTCTTCATAGTAAATCCAACACTTCCCAAATGACTAATATTAAGATAACTAGCTTGTAGTTCCCTGTTTTCTGTCTCCTTTCTCAAATTACTCATCTACGGGCCAAACGCAGACAAATGGGACAAGTTTTAAATTTGGAAAACCTGGTCGGCATGAACAAGTTGGACCAAAGGGTTTGTTTCCATGCAGTGTGACTCTGTGACTCTACTCCAAATGTGAAAATGCTTGTTGTTTTATATTTTCATTTTGTAGGGAAGCAAGAATTTCGTATATGTTTAATATTCAGATTCAAGGCACTCTAAATTAAATGGAAAATATTCTAACTATTCACTAGATCCAGGCAGACCAGCATTTAACCACAATGGATGCATCTATTTGTCAGTCTGATAAACCTGATACCCCTAGGAATTGCTGTTTACATCAATTCAAAACTGCATGTATTTTCTGAAAATCATGACACACATTCCTGAATCTGACATTTAAGAACATTCTGTTCTCTCCATTGTGTTAGCAATTACATTGTGCTGTTGTTGGAAGTGAAAATGCAAAGCGCTACTTCAATGCAGTGCAAGGATCAAAGGAGCATCATGGGGAGTTGTTCGGAGTGCACAATCTATTTGGCCTTTGCACAGAGGGATCCTGTTTGACCCGAGAAATCATTCAGGTAAAGAACTCTGCAGTGAATTTGCAGAATACGGATTGAAACAGTTTTGGACGGAATGTGCCACATTTTATATTTATTTTTCTAGTTCAGTGCTTTCTCGATAAATCTCATATGTCTTGTAACACCCCTTTCCCTTCCCTAATCTCATACCCGCTCACATTTTCATTTTATGCTACAGTGTAAATTACTGTGAATCTGCTGCTGACATGTTTCAAGCTCGCACAGTAAGGTCTTTTTATAGACATCCAGGTTTCATATTTATGGAGCTTAAAAGTGCTCCATACACAACACTTCAAGCTTTATAGGAGATGGATGTTTGCAGAAATATATTTTGTGTAATATTTTGTTTGAAAATGTTCGGGGATGATAAAAACATTTGGTTTGTGATGTACGAAAAATTCCCCATGGTATTATACTGTTGACCATTAACTCTGGCACTGGCACTGTCCACCGGGGAGCTGACTGTGAAAAATTGCAGGGAGAACCCACATTGCCATTGCTTGATGAAACTCTTCCCACTTTGAAATTCCAACTCATTCTTGGGAAGACTGGACCGACAGTGGTTGAACTGCATCAAACAAACGCAGAGAATGCTGGAGAAACTCAGCAGATTTGGCAGCATCTGTGGAAAGAGAAACAGTGTCAATGTTTCGAGTCCACTGACCCTTCTTCAGAACTGAAAGGTTTTGGAAAATAGGTTCCTTTTTATTCTTTTGACAGATCAGAGGAGGAGCAAGAAGGTAGATGATATAAAGACCCAGGGTGAAAGACAAAGGGGTTATTAATAGTGGAGAATAAAGAAAAGAGATGTAAAAAGGATGTACTAAATTTATTGACAAAGTAAATAAGACACAACAGAGCTATGGGGCGGTGGAGTAGAATGTAAGGAAAGTGGATGGCAGACGTAATGCAATCAGTTTCTGACATTAATAAATTTATTAAAGTCTAAGTAGCAAATAAGACATTGTACCTCAAGCTTGTTTTGTGCTTCATTGGAACACTGCAGTAGGCCCAGGACAGAAACATTAGCATGAGAGCAAAACAGCTGTTGAAGTAGCAAGCAATTGGAAGGGCAGGGCCATTCCTACAGAAAGAGCTGAGGTGTTCTGCAAAATGGTTATTCAGTCTGTGTTTAGTCTTTCCAATGCAAAGGAGATTGCTTGGTGAGTAGCAAATGCAGTAGACTAGATTGAAAGAAGTACAAGTAAAACATTGCTTTACCTTGTACATATGTTTGGGTCCTTAGATAGTGAGGAGGGAGGAATGAATGGGCAAATGGTACACTTTTTGCATTTCCATGGGAAGGTGCCATGGGCTGTGAGGAAGCATTAGGAGTGATGTAGAAGTGGACCAGGGTGTCACAGAGGGAATGGTCCCTGTGGAGTACTGACAGTAGAGAGAGAGGTGTGTTTGGTAGTGGCATTCTGCTGAAGGTGGTGAAAATGGTAGAGGATGATCCTTTGAATGTGGAGACTAGTGGGGTGGAAAGTAAGGACATGGACAATCCTGTTGTTCTGAGAAGGAGTGGAAGGGGTGGGGACAGAAATGCAGGAGATGGGTCAGACACAGTTGAAAACCCTGTCAACCACGGGGTTGTGGGAACTTAACCCTCAGTGATGACCAGAATAATTCATTACTTGGTCACCTATCTTAATGCTATTTGTGAGACCTCACTGTATAAATTAGCTGCCACCTTTCCTATACTATATGTCACAAGTATTTAATTGGTACTTTCAGACTTTAAGTTGTGAAACGTGTAATATAAATACTCAATCGTTATTTTATTTAAATATTCCTGAATGCTTATTAGCAACAAAGAACATTTTGTTCTCTAAAGATTAAATGGCAGAAACACGTGATGTAAATGTCAAAGAATATCTTCCTGAATCTACTGTGTTTCTCTTGGTTCAGTTGAAAGTTAAATGTTTCGGGAGGTCATCATAAAAGAAATCATTTGGTTTAGATTGGCATTTCTATGACTCCAGTTTAAATTCCTTTTTATCATCATTGAAAAAATTGTCAAAAAGTACTTGTTAATAATTGAGTGTATTTCTATTTTTAACATAACTAAAACATGTGATTTCTTGTATGTTTTGTGGCAGAGAACAGGTCAAGTGGAAGCAGGAGTGATGACAGCTGCTACACAGTTGAGAGAAGAGCCTCCAGCAACAAGATTGGAAACAGTGAGTTTTCCATCATCTCACGTAAGCATAAAATGCTACACCTGAAATTCATGGAGAGTACAGGGAGCATTAATAACTCCTTGTCACTCTGATACAGTAGTCTTTTCTTCTGCTTTCTCTATCTCGCTCTTCTCCTAGATTACAACTGTTCACTGTTCACATCTGGAAACCAAGTAACCTTGATGCAAGATAACAAGGTGTAGAGCTGGATGAACACAGCAGGCCAAGCAGCATCAGAGGAGCAGGAAGGCTGACGTTTCGGGCCTAGACCCTTCTTCAGAAATGGGGGAGGGGAAGGGGGTTCTGAAATAAATGGAGAGGGGGGAGGCGGATAGAAGATGGATAGAGGAGAAGATAGGTGGAGAGGAGACAGACAGGTCAAAGAGACAGGGATGGAGCCAGTAAAGGTGAGTGTAGGTGGGGAGTTGGGGAGGAGATAGGTCAGTCCAGGGAGGATGGACAGTTCAAGGGGGCGGGATGAGGTTAGTAGGTAGGAGATGGGGGTGGGGCTTGAGGTGGGAGGAGGGGATAGGTGGGAGGAAGGACAGGTTAGGGAGGCGGGGACGAGCTGGGCTGATTTTGGGATGCGGTAACGGGAGGGGAGATTTTGAAGCTTGCATTTTGGAAGATCCAATTCAAGAGCGAACTATACAGTAAATGGAAAAGCCCTGGGGAAAATTGATGCACAGAGAGATCTGGGTGTTCAGGTCCATTGTACCCTGAAGGTGGCAACGCAGGTGGATAGAGTGGTCAAGAAGGCATACGGCATGCTTTCATTCATTGGACGGGGCATTGAGTACAAGAGTTGGCAGGTCATGTTACAGTTGTATAGGACTTTGGTTCGACCACATTTGGAATACTGCATACAGTTCTGGTCGCCACATTACCAAAAGGATGTGGAGGCTTTGGAGAGGGTGCAGAGGAGGTTCACCAGGATGTTGCCTGGTATGGAGGGCGTTAGCTATGAAGAGAGGTTGAGTAGATTAGGATGATTTACATTAGAAAGACGGAGGTTGGGGGGGGATCTGATTGAGGTCTACAAAATCATGAGAGGTATAGACAGGGTGGATAGCAAGAAGCTTTTTCCCAGAGTGGGGGACTCAATTACTGGGGGTCACGATTTCAAGGTGAGAGGGGAAAAGTTTAAGGGAGATATGCGTGGAAAGTTCTTTACGCAGAGGGTGGTGGGTGCCTGGAACCTGTTGCCAGCGGAGGTGGTAGAAGCGGGCACGATGGCATCATTTAAGATGTATCTAGACAGAAGCATGAATGGGCAGGGAGCAGAGGGATACAGATCCTTGGAAAATAGGGGACAGGTTCAGATAGAGGATCTGGATCGGCACAGGCTTGGAGGGCCGAAGGGCCTGTTCCTGTGCTGTAATTTTCTTTGTTCTCTGTTTGTTCTTTTTCTGATTTTAATCTTTTAAAATATTTTGTTCTATGACAATTACTGCTGTATGTCGTGTACTGGTTATAATTGTGTATCCAGGCTCATCTAAATATTTCTACACAGCTCTCTTTAACTGATCAGGTAGTTAGTCATCAGTTCAGCTTAGAGTTCATAGAGTCATACAGCACGAAAAAGACCTTCCCGTCCAACCATTCCATGCCGAACATAATCTCAAACTAAATTAGTCCCACCTGCCTGCTCCTGGCCCATATTCCTCCAAACTTTCCTATTCAAATAACCATCCAAATGTCTTTTAAATGTTGTAATTGTACCCGTATCCACAACTTCACCAGGAAGTTCATTCCACACGCGAACCACCCTCTGTGTAAAAAAAAAAAAAAAAAAAAAATTTCCACTTATGTCTTTTTTAAATCTCTCCCCTTTCACCTTAAAAATATGCCCCCTAGGATTTGGAAGGTGCTGTCTGAGGATCTTTGCCAGCCAGAGTCTCTGATTTTTATTAAAACCTCACAGAATCACGGATTCACAGAACTGTTACAGTGCAAGAAGAGCACACGTGTCCCATCGTATCTGCATTGGACCTCTGAATGAGCACTATGAATCTGTGCCACTCTACTGCCTTTTTCACATAATCCTGAATATTGTTTTAATTAAATAATAATTGGATACTTTCTGGAATGCCTCAATGAAACCTGTTCCCACCACTCTTTCAGAGTGCATTCCAGACTCCACTCGTGATCTGAGAAAGTGTTTCTTGCATCACATTTGCTTCTATTGTGAATTGCCTTATATCTGTGCCCTCTCATTCTCCATTGTTTTATGAAGGGAACAATTTCTCCCTATCTACGCTGTCCAGTCCCCTTGACTATATAATTAAACTTGTACTTCCTAGTTTTGAGTCTTCAAGTTGTGCAATGGTATGATGCAAACCCACACAGTGCAGGTCTGTTAGATAAAGAGTTGGTGCAAAAATGGAATTGAAGACCCAGGGGTATTTAGTAAGGGCTGTACCCAGATTCAAGTGTGCTATTGCTTAATTGCTCTGGGTGCAGTGAGAAGCAAGAGGAATATACCTTCCCCCAGCAATGGGAAGAAGAAATCTGCTGTTCTCATCAATAAAGTATGGCTGGAAATAGCTGAGGAGGTCAGCAACAAGATCAATGTGCTCCAGTTTTAAATGCATTGCAGGGAGCCATTTAATGATTTAGAGCAGGTTAGGAAGAGTACATGCACTTGCTGATTCACCTACATCCTTAGGCCTTGGCCTAAACCACTCACCTGACCACCCTCCCCCCTGGCTCCAGCATGCGCACATTTCATTCTGTCTTGTCATGCAATTCCCACTTAACTCTCAGTAGATAAGGACATACGTACATAATTGGTATTTCTGCATCCTGCACAACAGGAGAAACTGGGAGCTCAATGACCAAGTTAATGGGGACCGTTAGTGGCTAATAATGGGTTCTTAGTGGTAGCAACGCATGTGATAACAAGATCTAATGTGTCGGGTTGGGTTAAGGAAATGGGGGAAAGTGTTCAGGCCCTAAAATTACTGAGCTCGATATTGAGTACAGAAGGTCACAGGGTTCCCAAGCAGAAAATGAGGTGTTGTTCTTCCAGCTTGTGCTGAGCTTCGCAAGAGCACAACAGCATGCCCAAGACAGAGATGTTGGCCAGGAACTACTATGGTGTGTTGAAATGGCAGGGTTCCGGAAGCTCAGAGTCACTCTTGCAGACAAAACATAGGTGTTCTGCTAAGCGGACACCTAGTGTGCGCTTTGTCTCTCCGATGCAGAGGAGCCATATTGTGAGCAGAAATTTCATATTTGTAGTACACAAAGGCCATTTTCACATTGAGGGACTAAGATCCACATTATTGTAAGGTGAGTAAGTGGTTTATTTCATTGGACATGGATTGCTTGTTAGCTATTATTCAAATGAACGGAAACTATAAAATCTCATAAATCTGTATAGTGCATCAGCTACCTTCCATGAATCTTGTTGAAATGTGGTAAGGTAACTTACCATAAGAGCTGATTTTTGAATGCTTTAGACTCTGTAATGTCTGTACAAACTAGGAAATTAACTGTCTGTTCCCTGTAAAGATCAGCATGGACAATTATTCTGGAGAGAACTAGGAAGTGGGTTGTAAAATGAAGAAAAGGGAATTGCTCGATTCTCAAGTCAGTAGTATTTGGGGAGATTTGAGCAGAAAGGGATAAAAGTAGCTTGAACAGGTCCTGAATGTGGCCCTAAATAATGAAAGAGGCTGCATTACACAAGGCTTTCTTATTCCTGGATAATGTTCTCAAATTTTTTTTTTATTCATTTGTGGGATGTGGGTGGCGCTGGCTGGCCAGCAGTTGTTGCCCATCCCTAGTTGCCCTTGAGAAGATGGTGGTGAGCTGCTTTCTTGAACCGTTGCAGTCCTCCTGCTGTGGGTTGACCCACAATGCTATTAGGGAGGGAATTCCAGGATTTTGCCCCAGTGACCGTGAAAAACAATGATATATTTCCAAGTCAGGATAGTGGGTGATTTGGAGGGGATCTTGAAGGTGGGGATGTTCCCATATGTCTGATACCCTTGACCTTCTCGGTGGAAGTGGTCATTGGTTTGAGGATCTCAAGTCAATTTCTGCAGTGCATCTTGTAGATAGCACACACTGCTGCTTCTGAGATTCGTTTGGTGGAGGGAATGAATGCTTGTGGATGTAGTGCCAGTCAAGCAGACTGCTTTGTCCTGGATGGTGTCAAGCTTCTTGAGTGTTGTTGGGGCTTCTTTCATCCAGGCAAGTGGGGAGTATTCCATCACACTCCTGACTTGGGCCTTGTAGATAGCGAACAGACTTTGAGGAGTTAGGAGGTGAGTTACTCACTGCAGTATTCCTAGCTTCTGGCCTGCTCTTGTAGCCACTGTGTTAATGTGGTGAGTCCAGTTGAGTTTCTGGTCAATGATATCACCCAGGATGTTGATGGGGGGGATTCGGTCACGGTAACACCATTGAATGTCAAAGGATGGTGGTTAGATTGTTTCTTATTTGTGATGGTCAGAGCCTGGCATTTGTGTGGCACAGATATCACTTTCCACTTGTCAGCCCAAGCCTGGATATTGTCCAAATCTTGTTGCATTTGAACGTGGACTGCTTCAGTATCTGACGAGACACGAATGGTGTTGAACATTGTGCAATTATCGGCGAACATCCACTTCTGACCTTATGATGGAGGGAAGGTCATTGATGAAGCATCTAAAGATGGTTGGGCCTAGGACACCACTCTGAGGAACTCCTGCAGAGATTTCCTGGAGCTGCGATGATTGACCTGTAACAACTACGACCATCTTCCTATGTATCAGGTATGACTCCAACCACCACAAGAGTTTGCCCCCTGATACCCATTGATTCCATTTTTGCTTGGGCACCTTGATGCCACACGCGTTCGAATGCAGCCTTGCTGAAAAGGACTGTCACTTTCACCTCTCGACTGGAATTCAAATCTTTTGTCCATGTTTGAACCAAGGCTGTAATGAGGTCAGGAGGTGAGTGACCCTGGCGGAACCCAAACTGGGCGTCACTGATCAGTTTATTTCTGAACAAGTGCTGCTTGATAGCACTGTTGATGAGACCTTCCATCACTTTACTGATGTTCGAGACTAGACTGATGGGGCGGTAATTGGTCGACTTAGATTTGTCTTGCTTTTTGTGGACAGGACATAGTTGGGCAATTTTCCACATTGTTGGATAGGTACCAGTGTTTTAAATTTCCTGGAACAGCTTGGCTAGAGGAGCAGCAAGTTCTGGAGCACGAGTCTTCAGTACTATTGCCGGAATGTAGTCAGGCCCTGTAGCCTTTTCAGTATCCAGTGTCTCCAGCCGTTTCTCAATATCACGTGCAGTGAATCGAACTGGCTGAAGACTGGTATCTGTGATGCTAGGGACCACTGGAGGAGGCCAACATGGATCATCCACTCAGCACTTCTGGCTGAAGATTGCTGCGAAAGCTTCAGCCTTATCTTTTGCACTGATGTACTGAGCTCTTCCATCATTGAGGATGGGGATATTTGTGGAGGCTCCTCCTCCAGTGAGTTGTTTAATTGTCCACCACCATTCACGGCTGGATGTGGCAGCACTGCAGAGCTTAGATCTGATCCGTTGGTTGTGGGATTGCTTAGCTCTGTCTACTACTTGCTACTTTCGCTGTTTGGCATGCAAGAAGTCCTATTTGGTGGCTTCACCAGGTTGATACCTCATCATCAGGTATGCCTGGTGCTGCTTCCGGCATGCTCTCCTGCACTCTCCACTGAACCAGGATTGATCCCCTGGCTTGATCATAATGGGTGAGTAGGGGATATGCCGGGCCATGAGTTACAGATTGTGCTGGAATACAATCCTTCTGATGTTGATGGCCCACAGCGCCTCATGGATGCCCAGTCTTGAGTTGCTAGATCTGTGCGAAGTCTGTCCCATTTAGCACAGTGATAGTGCCACACAACACAATGAAGGTTGTTCTCAATGTGAAGGCGGGACTTCGTCTCCACAAGGACTGTGCGATGGTCACTCTTACTGATACTGTCATGGACAGATGCAGCTGCAGCTGGCAGATTAGTAAGGATGAGGTCAAGTATGTTATTCCCTCGTGTTGGTTCTGTCACCACCTGCCGCAGACCCAGTCTAGCAGCTATGTCCTTTAGGATCCAACCAGTTCGATCAGTAGTACTGCTGCCGAGCCACTCTTGGTGGTGGACATTGAAATCCCCCACCCAGAGTCCAATTTTTGCCCTTGCCATCCTCAGGGCTTCCTCCAAGTGTTGTTCAACATTGAAGAGGACTGAATCATCAGCTGAGGGAGGACAATACGTGGTAATCAGCAGGAGGTTCCCTTGCCCATGTTTAACCTGAAGCCATGAGACTTCATGGGGTCTGGAGTCAATATTCAGGTTACCCAGGGCAACTCCCTCCCAACTGTATACTACTGTGCCACCACGTCTGCTGGATCTGTTCTGCTGGTGAGACAGGACATATCCAGGGATGGTGATGGTAGTGTCTGGGACATTGTCTGTAAAGTTTGATTCTGTGAGTATGACTATATCAGGTTTAACTACTCAGTGAGACAGCTCTCCCAATTTTGGCACTAACCCCCAGATGTTAGTGAGGACGACTTTGCAGGGTCGACAGAGCTGTTTCTGCTGTTGTCTTTTCCAGTGCCAAGTCAATGCCAGGTGATCCGTCAGGTTTCATTTCTTTGAGACTTTGTAGCGATTGGTACAATTGAGTGGCTTGCTTGGCCATTTTAGAGGGCAGTTGAGAGTCAACTACATTGCTATGGGTCTGGAGTCACATGTCGATCAGACCAGGTAAGGGTGGAAGATTTCCTTCCCTGAAGGACATTAGTGAACCAGATGGATTTTTCCAACAATTGGCAATGATTTCTTGGTGATTTCAGTAGATCCTTAATTCCAGGCTATTTTTTTCAACTATTGAATTCAAATTCCACCATCTGCCGTGGTGGGATTCGAACCCGGTCCCCAGAACATCAGCTGGGTTTCTGGATTAATACCTAGCAACGATACCACTAGGCCGTCACCTCCCCACCAAGTGCTACTTCTTTGCAGCTGGATTATATTTAAAGCTATTTTCTGAAACAGTAGCAGTTAGGGCTTTTGTGTTGCAGTATTGATGCCCCTATACCTAATGAGTAGATTGCTCCATCCTTCATTTACACATGAACAGCTAAGATATCATCGAAAATTTTTAAATTTCCTTTTCTGTTACTGGAGAATAGATGTTTTCTTATCAATCATAGATATTTCACAAAAAGAAAGACATTTTCTAATCAAGTCTGGAGCTGGAGGAACATAGCAGGCCAGGCAGCATCAGAGGAGCAGGAAAGTTGACTTTCCTGCTCCTCTGATGCTGCTTAGCCTGCTATGTTCCTCCAATTGCAGACTGTGTTATCTCTGACTCCAGCATCTGCAGTTCTTGCTATCCCTGATTTTCTAATCAAACTGTTTGGAAATGTTGTTATTCGTCTCTGGAGCCGGTGGGACTTGAATGCAGACCTCCTGGCTTAGGGATAGGGACACAATACTGCATCACAAAAGCCCTAACTGCTACTGTTTCAGAAAATAGCTTTAAATATAATCCAGCTGCAAAAAAGGACAAGGGCATCAGAAATATGGGAACACCACCAGCTTCAAATTCCCCTCCAAGCCACTCACCATCCTGATTTGGAAGTACATCGCTGATCCATCGCTGTCACTGAGTCGAAATCCTGGAATTCCCTCCCCAATGGCATTGTGGGTCAACCCGCAGCAGGTTGTCTGCAGCGCTTCAAGAAAGCACCTCATCACCACATTCTCAAAAGGCAATAAATGCTAGCCTGCCAGCGATACCCACATCCCACAAATGAGTTTTTAAAAAAAACAAAATTTGCTTCCCGGTTTTGTCTATACAATTTTATCACTCCCACCATCTGCCCCGACTGAGAAATGATTTTAGCATTATTGTGCAGGTTATTAACACTGTTTCACTTTGCTCAAATACTGCACGATCTCTGGGTGTTTCACTAATTTTCTGTTTTTATTTTAATAACCTAATTGCCATAGATATCCATTTAATGTTTGCTTTAATATTTAGACCATTGACGTAGAAAAGAAGATGGAAGAAGAGAATAAGGACCTGCCGGAGCAATGTACAATAGAAAGAAAGCCACGTAAAAGAAAGTCAGAACAATTTTTTGACTTTAGTAGTGAAAGCGAGACAGAGCCTTCAAGTATGACAAAAATGAAGGGTAATAGAGGTGGTGCAGTAGCTACCAGTAATAATACTGATAGCCATGGACAACTCACATTAGCCCAGTATGGGTTTTCTAAACTCCTAGATAGGCAAACATGCACTGGAGAAGAGTGCGGTGAGAGTGACTGCAATTCTGATGATGACCTATTAGAGAATCAATGCTCAGAAGAAAGCACAAGCGATGATTTAAGTTCCCCTGTACCCAAGGCAAATTATGGGCCTGTCAAACTGGTTTCAGAGGCCCAACCAAATGCTCAATCTATAAAAAGGAATGGGCATGCTCAGCAAGTAAGAGAAAGACTTTGTCAACACTGGAGCACTTCTAGTGAATCAGAAGGAGAGGCTGAATTAAGAAAAAAATGCAAATATCATGGAACTTCAATAAATGTTGCTCTTTCCATGGGAACTAACAACAGCACAGAAGAAAATGATGATGCTGTCCCTCCTTCACAGGTATTGGGACAAAAGAAAAAAGTACCTACCAAGAAGAAATCTAAATCTGACTTGCTGTTAAAAGATTCTGAGGAGTCAAATGACAAAAACCTCACAAGTATTTCCTATAAAGAAAAGGCATTGTTGTCCTGTAAATCAAGATTTCCTGGTGTTAAAACATGCATAATTAGTCATTGTCCCAGGGTAACAACAGGGAATCCCTTGAGTTATTCTGCCAAATTGAAAGAACCAGGCAACATCAGTGATGAGTCAGACGACGTTGAAATATCTGCAAGCCCACCAGGGAGAACACCCAATCAATTAGAACATCAAGGAGAAAGAGGCAAAAAAAGCCCATGCAATAAATCTCGAGTCCATTTTAAAAAAAAGACCACTGAGTACAACATTGAGCAATTTTCATCCTCTGGAGATGATGTTCCCACCAAACGAATGTGTTGCAATGTAATCAGAGAGGTGGGCAAAAATAATATTAAGCCAGAGTGCAATGTTCGACTTGGGCACAAGCATAAACCAATCAGAATTGACAAAGGTGAAGGTATACTGGAGAACGAGAAGCAGAGCCGGAGTCATGGGGAGCAGTTTGCAACAATGGACAGATTGCTAGGTAACCACAAATTTTGCTTTGAGTGGAATGCAAATTCGGGATGTTTATTGTCTGTTAAAACTTTATAATTGTGGAAGTTAAAAAAGGTTGCATTCACACTTCACAAAACAACTGTTGGGCTGAAACTGATAACTTCTTTGCATTAGCCCTAAACCTAAAATGCAAATCAAGTTTAAAGGCCAAACAGACTCCAAAGTGAAACTATAATTCTCTCATCCTGAGACTAGATTGACTGTATTTACACTTTGGGGCACTATATGAGTAACGCTGTTTAAGCATTGTAAAATAAATTTAAAACGTACAATTTAAATAGGAGATAACCTGCACCCAATGAGCAATGATCACAGGCTGCTAAAATCATGTGGACTACCTTTTAGGAGTATCAGACTGCTACTCATTTAAAGGATTCTGAGTACCAGCAGAGAGCTAAGCCCAATTCACAATTCTACAGCAGCCCCTGTTGCCACATGCCAAAGAACATTTCGTCTGTAAAGTTTTCTGGAACAGTGGAATTGCCCCACACTTCATGTCCATTGACCTGGTGATCAATATGGAGACTAGTCTTTGCACCACCTGCAAACTCCAAATAGGGTTGTCAACTCAGACTGGACATAATCCTAGAGATCTCATCACATGACCTCCTGTCTTCAACAACTCTATTCAAACCTTTTGGTCAAAGTTTTTATAATTAATAAACAAAAACCTTTAAAAAATCAATTACTTTGAATGCTATTATATTTTGTCCCCAGGATTGCTCATGGCAGCATCCAGGAGGTTAATCATTAATTCTTGGAGACTTCAGATGCTTTGAAAGTCCTCTCACCAAATGTGTTGATAAGCCTCAAGGACCAGTTCCAGGCTAATCTCATAGGCACTTCAGCACATTGTCATCTCCAAGTCTGGGTCCAAAATCTGTCCCTATATTTGCAAAGTCACTGCAAAGCAAACCTACCACCATAACCACAGTGTAAGTGTGCCAGTGCTGAATTTGTATGACGTTTATACATCTCAGCAAGGATTAAAAGTAAAAGAAGCAGTTTGCTGTGCCATAGTTTAAAACAAATTGTTTCCTTAATTTGGATTGCATGCTTCTCTTCATTTGCAGCTGATGCTAGGAATCAGTCAAGTCAGGTCTGAAATAAACTATGATAAAAATGAAAAAGATTCAAAACAACATTTCTATCAAATGATACTGAAGAAGCTGTACCTTTGCATAATAAACAACATTTTGATTAAAAATAGATTAGATAATCAAGGTGAAAAATTCTTAACTCATTGGAGTCATACCTAGCACAAAAGGAGATGGTTGTGGTTGTAGGAGGTCAATCACCTCAGCTCCAGGACACCTCTGCAGGAGTTCCTCAGGTAATGTCTTACATCCAGTTATCTTCAGCTGCTTCCTCAATTATCTTCCCTCCATTATAATATAAGAAGTGGGGATGTTCCTTGATGATTGCATAATATTCAGCACATTTATGACCCCTCAAATACTGAAGCAATCCATGTCTAAATGCAGCAAGATCTGGACAACAATTTGGCTTGAGGTGATGAGTGGCAAGTAACACTTGTGGCACATAAGTGCCAGGCAATGACCACCTCGTACAAGAGAATCTAACTATCTTCCCTTAGTGTTCAGCGTCCTGGCTGTAACACCAAAAACTGAATTAGGCCATCCGTTTAAATACTGTGGTTACCAGAGTAGGATAGAGCTTAGGAATTTTAACAACACTTCAGAAGCTTGACACTATTGAGGATGAAGGTACCTACTTGATTGACATCTTTAGCATTCACTCCCTACATCATTGAAGCACAGTAGCAGCAGTGTGTACCATCTGCAAGGTGCACTGTAGTAACTTAACATGGGTCCTTCATCAACACCTTCCAAACCCACCACCTCTACAGGCTAGAAGGACAAGAACAACAGTTGCACAAGATGACCATGACCTGCAAGTTCTCATCCAGGTCACACCTGATGAGGAACTATATTGTTGATCCTTTTTTGTTGATGGATCAAATTCCTTGAGCTCCTTTGCTAACAGCACCCAAACACTGCAGCCACTCAAGAATGAAGCTCACCATCACCTTCTCCAGGGCAATTAAGAATGGGCAATAAATGCCTACAAACCCAATGAGCAAATAAAAAAATGAACAATTTCTGAATAATTTCAAGAGTGTTAGCTGTCTGGTTTAATTATGGAGGGTGGGATTCTTTGAGTCTAGGACATTATCTTGGATAATAAATAAGAACTTGCTGCCTGAGATTCAGACACTTAAGTCTATTCTCATTAACTGAGGAACACCACAGCATATTTTAATTAATAATTCTTTTATCTGTGAAAAGTGGGTTTGAGTTTAACCAAACTGGATAAAAAGTTCAACTTTGACATGAAACTTTAATGAATGATGTGTGACTTGATCAGCTGTGGCATACTTACTTCTTTAAAATTGTTTTAAGTAGGAAAGGTGGTGACCTATCAGTGTTGTTGATAGACTATTAATCTAGAGACCCAAGTAATGTCCTGTGGATCCGGGTTAAATCCTGCCATGGCCGATAGTGGAATTGAAATTCAATAAAAATCTGGAATTAAGAATCCAGTGATGACCATGAAACTGTTGCCAATTGTTGGCAAAACCCAAGTCGTTCACTAATGTCCTTTAGGGAAGTAATCTGCCATCCTTAGCCGATCTGGTCTATGTATGACCCAGACCCACCACAGTATTGTTGACCATTAACTGCCTTCTGGGCAATTAAGGATGGGTAATAAATGCTAGCCAAGCTAATGACACCCACATCCTGTGAATGAATTTTTAAAAAGGGGTTGCTGCTAATTAATATTTGATGTTTCAATTATTAGGTGATGTACAGGAAGTGGCTTTCATTCATTCAAACCAACATGTGATTGGGTCCAGCAAGGCTGAAAATCAAATGAGTCGTACTGCAATTCGTGATGTATTTGAACTAAAACAACATTCGCAGATTCCTGCCAATGTAGCAGTCCACACTAGTCAGGTAATGTAGTGATTAACAGCATTGGTTTATGCATATAAATTATGCTATTTAAAAATTTTATGAGTTTGTAGAATCTGGTTCTCAAAATGATTCCAACTACAGTAGGGAGATAATGCCATTTCTGAGGCCTGGATTTGTTGGCCTGGATTTTGCAGTCAGCAGGGAAGAAAGGACAGTCATTGCTGACCTTGAAGAAAATCTCACTGAAACATCTACTGATTTCTGCTGAGAATCTTACCTCGCTCACCATGCTGCAATTTGCAGCATTCTTTAATAAGGGACCCCCAGTGGGGTGTTATAGTGATTTTATCAAGCTGTCCAAGTTATCTAATTCATTAAGAACTTTTTACAGTCATCCATCCAGGAAATGAAAAGCCCTGAAATCAATCACCTTTTCAAAATTATAAACACAGCAAATAAGGCTTAGGCATGTACATGAACTGAAGGTAGAAACTGAAATGTCATGGATAAAAGCTTCTTAAAATTTGAAAAATCATAATTCAAAGTCATGTAATTTTGTATTTAACGCCACAAAATGATTTTTTCAGGGCTACATCTGTTGGAAGGAGTCAGGTATTAGTAGGTGAATGTTGAAGCTCAATTACATGTGATTGAATAAGATATAACTTTCTATTCGATTTCAAACTGTGCTGTGGGAGCAGAAAAGTGAATATTCTCACAACATCAACTGATTTTATTGATGGCTGTGGGGAGGAGTGCATTTTGCACTAGGGAATACAGGTCCTGTCTCTTCAATCTCTCCTCAAAAGGTCACCATTCCCATAAATCTGTTGACTAAAACCTTCATTGCACTCCCTCTATGGCAAAAATACTTTTCCTGAGATAAGGTGACAAACACTGTGCACAATACTCCAGGTGTGGTCTCAACAAACCTCTATACAACTGCAGCAAGACATCTTTACATCTGTACTGAAACCCTCTTTCCAACACAACACTTGCCTTCCTAATTAGTAGCTGTACCTGTATTTTAGCTTTCAGTGGTTCATCAACAAGGACACCAGCTCTGTTTGGATATCAACACTTCCCAAATTCTTACCATTTAAAAAATACACTGCATTTCTGTTTCTGTATCTGAAAAACTCACATTTTTCAGTACATTACACAATCCCAGGATATTCCAAAGTACTTGACAAGAAATAAAGTACTTTTCCAAATCCAACCAATCTATGCAACCTTTTGTACATAGCAAGTTCCCATAAAGAACAATGTGATAACAACATGATAATGTGTTTTAGAGATGTTAATAGAAGGAGTGGACACTGGGGCAACCTGGCCTCCTTCGAATTATATCATTAAATTTTTTGCCTCCACCTGAAAGAGAATCTCCATTTAATATTTCACCTAGCGATCCATTCGCTATTAATTTGATTTGAAGAGCAAGTATCATGTGGCTCATGTTAAGATGCCATACAAGTAAAAATTTAGGATAATTTTCAGTATTTGTATCAATAACCAAATTAAAGACCTCATTTGGCACTGCGAGTGTTCCAAAATAGTAAAAATAAAACTATTTTAGTCAAGGCATCAAGCCAGTCATCTTCTATGATTACTCATTCATTGAACAACCCAATAAATGGCAGAAAATTCTGAATATCACTATAATTTTGTACAACTGCAACTATATAATGCCAAGCTTCGTGGCCTGTGTGCGGTGGTCCCAAAGCGGGTGGTGTTGGGAAGTCAAGTATTGATTTAAAGATAGATTGGAAGGACCTAAAGAGCAATGTCAGTGATAGATGGTGGGTTTCTGAGGGTGGTTTCAGAGTGCTGGGTAGAGGAAGCATCTAGAAGTAAAATGTACAAGAGGATGTATTTGTGTCCAATATGCAGATCATTAACAGAAATTAAATGGATTAAATTTTATGTCAAGTATTTAATTAAGGAATTCTATATTATGTTTGGTGAATGGGAAGAGAGTTTAGAAGTCACTTCTTTAGTTGAAGTTGACAGCACATTGAATCCTGTGTATCATTCTAAGACCCCATTTTTGATAGTATTCTGTTTGCATTTTAGCTACTTCAGAAAACTGACAGCATGCTTAGTACTCCTCAGAAGTCCTTGCAGCAACACCACATAAATCAAAGTCAAAAGTTGCCTGCTCTCTCACTTGTGCATCCTGTTACACAGACAATGAGGAAGGTCCACCGAGCAGGCGGCACTACCTTCCTGATTGGACAAACACCCAAAGGAATCTGTAGGTGAGTGAACTAGAAGACACAGGTCTGAGGTCAAAAGGGCCCCACTTCATTGTTGTAAGGGCAGCTGTACTCATTATCTCTCGTTGGCTATACAATGCTTTTACCTGAAGGTGATGCTTCAGGGCTTTCTTTCTTTTTCTATATGCGAGTGTCCAAAAAGAAATCGGATACTCTGGTAATGTGATCATGTAAGCTTAGACCATTGTCATTAAGTGTATTGACATAATGTATCCACAAAACAATGAGACAACTGTAAAATAGATGGAATATGTAAAGACTGGAAATGCTTAACCTACTTGTTCCACTTACCATTTTGTTTCTATTCAGAAGGGTAAAGCCTTTTTATATGGTGGGAGATACGGCAGAGGACAAGGCCTGACAAAGATAGTTACACTAATAGCTGGGCAAGGAAAGCACATGGAGTAGCAAGTGATTCATTTTGAGAAATAAACTAGAACATTTACAGAAGCGATTGTGCTTTCCCCTTGTTTCTGATTACATTGTCATAATTTTTGTAGTATAATTTTTGTAAGCAATTTTATACATGATTTGGAGCTCTCATTCCCTATATCACTAATTCACAAAACCTTGTTATGACAGCCATCATCGTAATATGATAGTTGATCAACCGTGAAAGAGAAAATGTTAATTAATTATATGGTAAATGTCAATTAAGCCTTTATTTATAACCATTGATGAATTCAGTTTTACTTATATGTGTTCAGCTATTCAGTGATACTGTGCTGAAGAATGCTTGCAGCCAGCACAGGTTCTGAAGGCAGGTATGTAAATGCAGCAGTCTCTACATGAAACCCAGTGATGCATCTGTACAAGCATTACTTAGTAAATACTATTTTTCTCACACACCATCGCAAAAGGAGCATGTGAATAGGGTTACTAAAGATCTGAAAATAATGCTAAAATATTAAACTGGTAGAAAGTGACAAGAAAACATTCTTCTTATTTCTGTGTGGCTACTACCAATTTAAGAGGTGATGGAAGAATTTTTAAACTGCACACTACTGATGACAGTATAAAGTCCTGTATCTTGCTGAGCCAACTGAAAAGAGGACTAGGGGAATGTTGGGGGGTGTAGAGAGAGAGAGAAGGAGAGGGTGAAGGAAGGAAGGATCAATTGAAATCCAAAATGTACTTTTCATTGTATATATTAGTAATGTGACTTCTTGCATCCTGCTTAGACAAGCATATTCTGGCTTATAAATACATTGTTTCACTTTATGATGGAATTTTAGAAGCAGAACAGAAAATGCATAACATTTACCACACAAAGTCATTCAGCCTGTCTCGTCTGTGTTAGTATTTGAGACAAACTCCTCCCACCCTGCATCATCTAACTCTATCAGTGTAGCCATTGCTTTCTTCCTGCCTTATATAGTGACCTAAAATATTCACAGTCTTGCCTAAGTCTTAAATTATGATGAGGCACCTGGCCATGTCCTTACTTGCATTTTGTGCACGTGGTGTGTAGAACATTGTTGTTAAATATTATTCTTGTCTTTTACATCCAAAGGGTTTGAGTAGAATTATAAATGACAAGTTTGAACCTGAAATGTTTTCTGATTTGTTCCTTAAACAAGATTCAAGTATAGCTTCCTTGCTGAGATTTTGCCATACATTTTTTACTTACAATATGGGTGCACAACTTGCATAATAAATGCTTAGAGGCTGCTTTGAAATGAAAATTAACTAAGAGAGACATTATCATCTTGTAATATTAATCATTCTAAGTAATGAAATATTAATAATTGGGAATACAGAACTTAATCTATATTTGAAGAGTGAAGTGGAGCTGAATATTACTTAAATGGACAAAAACTGCAGAAAGTTCCAGTACAGAGGGATTTGGAAGTCCTTGAGCATAAATCACAAAAAAGCTAGCATTCTGAGTTCAGCATGCAATAGGGAAAGCAAATAGAATCCTGGCTTTTATTTCAAAGGGAATGGAGTGCTAAAACTATACAAGACTGAAATAACTCCATGAAGGCTGGTATCCCATTTCCAAGTCACCCTTGTTATACATGTGCACAGTAAATGACATTCACCCCCAGCTAGCACAGAGCCAGCTCCAAGAGTGAACAGAGCACCTGATACCCCTGTTTATATCTGTGAGCCAGGACTCCCTGATTGGGGCTGTTAACCTGGTCCAATCAGGGATCTCATTCTATAAGATCCATTTGGCTGATCATTCCAATCAATACATCCCTCCCGCTGTAAGTCTGGGGCATTGGCCTGTTCCTTTTCCTGTAGCTTTTCCTGGGGTCTTTTCACACCAGGTCCAGTTCCTCCAACTCTGGCTTGTATACAAGCTGCATGTACCACACCATAGCCTGCCTCTTGTGCCTGGGGCATCTCAGCCAAAATTTACCATCTTCAGGCAGTAACAGTTTCAGGGCTGCAACGTCTGCTGTGTTCATTTCATCCTCAGAGGTTTCTTTGATGTTAGGTGGAGGGGGAGAACTCTCAGGTTCTGACAGCATTGCCGGACTTCTGAGGGGCCGGTTATGTTTTGCTCCTGCCCTGTTTGAGAGATTACAGCTTTCATGTGGTCCACATGCTTGTTCAGGATGGCCTCACCTCCTGAACTTTGCACGTCATGGGACCTGACCTCACACTGACCATGCGCCTTACCCATGTAGAGCCATTCCCCTGGTTTCAACACCAAACTTTGTGCCCCGAAGTGAACTGCCCCTCTTCGACCTGAAGCTGTGGGCGGCACAGCTTTGCCCTCTTTGAGTAGCCGTAGCACAGATATTTCATCCATTACTATTATCAATTAATGTACGTAAAGGCATTGATGGAACTTTCTCACACCAAAGATAACTGTCAAACCTTCCTTCGTTGTCTTGTCATATCTTTGTTCGACATCAGCCAAAGTGCGGGAAGCATACTGTCATAGAATCATAGAATCCCTACAGTGTGGAAACAGGCCCTTTGGCCCAACAAGTCCACACCGACCCTTGGAGCATCCCACCCAGACCTATCCCCCTATAACCCACAGACCCCTGAACACTACGGGCAATTTAGCATGGCCAATCCACCTAGCCTGCGCATCTTTGGACTGTGGGAGGAAACCAGAGCACCTGGAGGATACCCACGCAGACACGGGAAGAATGTGTAAACTCCGCACAGACAGTCGCCCGAGGCTGGAATCGAACCCGGGTCCTTGGTGCTGTGAGGCTGCAGTGCTAATCACTGAGCCACCGTGGCGCCCCGTGGGGGCATTGGTGAGCCAACGCTACTCTGATACCATATGGGGAGGCATCGCATGTCAGTACCACATCTCGCTTGGGATCGTTTTGTGCCAACACGTTAAGACAATAGCTGTTAGATAGATGTCAGGTGCTCCAGTTAATAACTCGATTTTCTCCAATACAATCTTCCATCCCATCCCATGTCTCCAACAGCAAATAAACATTGGTAAGCAATTCATCTAGTAGAACTATTCTATGTTTTGAATCTGTTTCTAACCTCCACAGCAGATGCACTTATGAGGTTAGAAAGGCATTGATATAGGATTCTGCTAGGTCCCATCACTGTTTGGTTAGTACTTTCTAATGTAAAGAGGATCAAAATGTTAAATTTCAAGAATCCAACACAAACCCTCACTTATCAGTTTGTACCAGACAAGCATTCAGCAATCCTCAATCTGTACTGAATTTGAAATTATGTTTGGAACAATGTCCACAAATAATAGGAATTGTGTTGATCGAGGCACATGCTACTTTCCGTCATTGGTGACACAGGCTGTTTGGAATCTTAGAATTTTGAAACCTAGTTATGAGGTAGAATTGCAGTAAGAGAGCAGCATGTGTATACAATGATTTAAACAGTGTTATCACTTAAGACATTTTAAAGAAGTACCACCTTTTCACTGTATCATTAAGTATTAATTGTTGACTTGATAGTTTTTTAAAAGAAAATAAATTATTGTCTTTTTGCTACAGGAAACAACTCTTTGAAATGGCCGAGTATTTCAACATGGCTTCCGCAGAAGAATTGGCAGAACATCTTTTAATTAGCACCTCGCAGCACCGGCTGACAATGCTAAGGAAATTTTACACGTCCCAGTATCCAGAGCTAGAAGACATCTTACCAGATGGACCTCCAGAATCTACACTTGAACATAATGTCACAGTGGGAAATTCGCAGGATTGTATGACCACAGAGTATGCTGGCAGTAGGGATAAAAATCAAAGCAATTATTCTTTGATTCAAGGAGTACCAGGTGGCAAAAAACATTTTAAGAAAAAGCATCTAAAAAAGATTACATGTTTTGAAACACAAAATGATGTTATTTCAGAAAATTGTGACTGTAAGTCAAGAATAACTCATGTAAAAAAGAGTGTGTTGGCAGACAAGTCATTTTCTAGTGATTCTGCTGAAGAGGTTGACAGTAACACCTGTATGGATTTTTCAAGGCCTTCAACTACTCCACTCTTAAAGAGTACACCACACAGGGGTGAAACAAGTTCCAGAACATCTGTGAAACATCAGCAACCTCATGAAGAGATAGTGCCACTGGTAGAAAGGTTAAAGTGCAACTCAGATGACAACCAAAAATTAACACTGTCCAAAGCTGACTCAATCACAGAGCTACTTGGTGACACTTCAGTACTGGATGCATTGTTTGAGAGGAGAAAAAACATTACTGAGCAGTCAATAAAGGCCACAGGGCATGTGCCAAAAGGAAAAAACAAATCAAAGGATTTCTGGGATTTTCTCAATCTCAATAACAATGAGGATGTCAGTACACTAACAGACCTATCTGTGATCGAAAAGTTATGTGAAAGTGCACCTTTGAAATCAAAGAACAGTGGAAAAGAATCAGGTGACACCTTTTGGAAAAAGAATGAGAAGTTCTTATGGAAAAGTGATCCAAAGAGTGACTCCTATGTCTCAACATCTGGAACATTTTGCTATGAAAATCAAGTAAAAACCATAAGAACTACAGATGCTGTAAATCAAGTGCTGGATGGGAAGAGTAACAGAAGCCTGTAAATAAATAATTATCTGAACTAAGTGTAATAATTATAAAACTTTTAAAGTCTAGTATAGGAATTTAAAAACTATAATGTTGGAATTTCAAAGGATGGCAGTAATGGGTTATGGAAAGGAGACTCAGTAATATAATTGCATAGTTACCATTTGGGACATTTTTGCAGCTGATGTTTAAGTCAGATTTTCATCATGATGGAGAGGTCTGTCATGGAGACAGTGGCAAAACTCCCTGAAAATGAGAAGTTTAGCCTTGGATATAGGTACGAACATAGGAAATAAGAGCAAACATGGGCCATTCAGTCCCTCAGGTGTACTTTGCCATTCAGTAAGATAATGGTAGATAATTTGTTTTTCAAATTCTACATTCCCATCTGCCACCAATAACTTTCAATTTTCTTAACTAACAAAAAGTTGTCTATACCTTAAAAATATTCACTGACCCTGCTTTGACCTCTTTCTGAAGCAGAGTTCCAAGGTTGCAAAACCCTCTAAGAGAAAATAGATTCTCTCCATTATGCTTCTAAAATGGCAACCGCTTATTTTAAAACACTGTTCTGGAGTCACCCAGAAGAGAAAACATATTTTTCATGTCCACCTTGTCATGATCATTCAGGATCTTGTACACTTCAATCAAGATATCCCTTCCTATTCTAAACCACCATTGAAACAAACCCAGTCTATCCTATTTTTATAAGACAACCCATTTGTTAGAGAAGCGTTATGATGCATAAGGGGGCCATTCAGCTTATCATTGTCACACTGGCTGTCTACTCATTATGACTTTGTGCTGTTCTCTTGCCTTTTGCCATACCATTGCAAATTGTTTCTCTTCAAATAATCACTCAATGCTCTCTTGAATGTCTCAGTTAAACCTGCCTCCACCACACTTCCAGGCAGTGCATTCTAGATATAAACCACCAGTGGTGAGGAATTGTGCTACTTTGGCTAAATATTTTAAAGCTCTGCCCTCTTATTCTCAATCCTTTTACAAGTGGGAACATTTTTTTCTACCTCTTCTGTGCAGACCCTGATGATTTGGATTATTCCAAATATCAATCTCATGTAGAGTCATGCAGTGTGGAAACAGGCCTTTCAGCCAATCCCATTTACCTACACTTGGTCCGTAATCTACAGTGCTCTGGCATTTTAATTGCTCATCCAGATGCTTCTTAAATGTTGCAAGAATACCTGCTTCTACCACCCTCTCAGGCAGTATTTTCCATATTCCTATCACCCTCTGGGTGAATATATGTTTTCTCTGATCTCTTCTAAATCACTTACTCCTCACCTTAAACTGTGCTGTCTGATCTTAGACACATCTACTGTGAGGAAAAGATTCTAATGATCTACCTGTCTATGCCTCTGAAAATTTTGTGTACGTCAACCTTCTCAATCTCTGCTCTAAGCAAACAAAGCCAGCCTATCCAGTCTCTCCTCAGTCTCTCCACAGTTTTCATTTTTGGAAAATAATGCAACATCAACAACTTTTATTTTTCTTATTTGAGCCATGTTTCAAATAATGTTAAACCATTGTTTTCTTTTTTTATTGGCTGCTTACTGCTATATATTTGCACTTGGGTGGGAGAAAGGGCTATTTTGTGTCCTGGCTTTCTCCATCGAATATATCAATGACACTTGCTTCAGAACTCAAAAGCACAAGGAAATTGTGGTGAACCAGAAACTTGACATTTTTTTTCTCTTAATTCAGATCATAACCAAAACTTATCCAACATATACATAAATATAAGTGGGAGATAGCACTGAGGTTCATCTTGTTAAGAATAAAGCTATCACACTTCATTCTACTTGGCCTGCAGCACTTTTAACAATGAAGACTAGTGCAAGCTGTTTAATACTCAAAGTATCTGATCTTTTGGACATTCCCACATCGATGTTCCAGAAGCCAAATGTTTCCCTTCCAAATTGAACAGGATATTCGTGAGTAAGGCATGTTCACCATGTCACAGCTGGATGAAGAATGCAGTGGAAGGACCTTGGAAGAAAGTAATTTACCTGATCTTTTGTTTGGGAATGATGTACGATGAGCTATCTAAAGGAGAACAAATGCTATGTTCGCCTGTGGGGATTGTTCCATAAAGCATTCCATACACAGGCCAAATTTTTAAAAATGCTGCCGTTTACAATTACATTGGAAGAGAATTGCATGAGAACTGTTTTAATGAATTTTCTTGGCCTCATCTATCTTATTGGAGGTCCCACCCATAAGTAAGAGCTCATTGTGAAAACAGATCCAACAAATCCCCATGCCATTTTTCAACATTACTAGGTCAAACATTGTAAGGCAAAGTTAACTTAATTTTCCTTCCTGAGCATCAGGTTTTATTGCAAGTATGGCAACACTGAAGTTAAAGGCTTCGTGGAGCCCCAAAACTGTCCAGCACCCAAAAGAAGTCATTTTTGAAAACTTAACTCTTTCTATTGAACCCTCCAATGGAATATATAAAATGTGAAAAACCAAATACAATTAATGACTTGCCTGTCCATGTGCTTTCATTGTGCTCTTGAAGATATTCTCTACCATAATTTTTTGCTTAAAATTTCCTGGCAAATTTTTATAATTGGATTGAAAAAAAGGCAACAGTGCCAAGTTCATCTTATTTCCAATCTGAAGCCCATCAGCTCCACTTAAATAACTAAGAATCAGATTTGCAGCACTGTTTTTTCTGGCAATCAAAAACTGGACATTTCTTATCAAAAAGTTAAAGTCAGCTGCAAACACTAATACCCCATGTATGGAATAATATTGACCAATCTTTAGCAAAAACCAGACCCACCACGACGATGAGCATATTTTTTTGTACACAGGTCAGCAGAGAACAAACATTCATTCTTTTATGTGTTAAACTGTGTAAGAAAACTGTATATCGTGCTTGAACATGTTAACAAAGCAAAGCCACATGGATGGCTTCAGTGTTTTTAGGGCTTAGCTTGTTTATCAAACAACCATGTGGAAACCTGTCAATTGACAAACAAATAATCCAGGCTTTTACTTTTTGAACTGTAGAACAACATTTTTTTTTTAAGTTTACTTGTTTACATTTCTCTAAAACATATTAGGGAAAGTTCTGCAATCAGCTTTATTCATAATTTTTTTTTAGCTGCAGATAATGTCTCCATGTCTGCTTCTACCACACCCACCTTGAGGTATATGCAAAAAAAATGATTGGGCGTTATTATAAATGACATTTAGAAATAAGCATACTCAAGCTGAATTTGTTGAAAAATAACTGAACATTACGCACTAATAATGGACTAATCTAATGAAATTTGGAATGAACCATGAATTGGCACATGTTGCTGAATGATTTGCACCATTCTGATGTTCGTTTCATAAATATAGCTTCCCATGCTTAATCTCCCTGTCATTTTCATGAAGTTGCTGCATTTGCACATTAATTACTCAGGAAACATAACACTTTCATTGCTTTACTTCCCTCATTGCCATTCCCCTTGGCTTTGCATTTCTAATCCTTCTGTCGTTTAATCTCTCTTGCCTTCAACCAGATCCCCAGCTTGCCTCTTTCACTTGTGTAAAACGTGTCATACTTTTACCAAACCTGGTAATTATTGATTTGCACCATTGGGATGAATTTTTCTGGAAAAGCTGAAATTTCTCTGCTGAGGCTGAAAACAGGATTGACTGCAATCCATTAGGTGGTGGCATGTTGGGGCTGGATCTTGTTGGCAGTGGCCAATTATCAGGCTGATGTCTAATTGAAGGTGACAAGCTACCCACTGGAACTGCCAATCCCATCAGACAACCATGACCATCTGGAAAGATAAGAGCAGTAGCTGTATGGGAGCACCACTACCTAAAATTCTCCTGCAAGCCGCATACCATCTTGATGTGGAACTAAGGCTAGGAATTGTGTAATGAGAAAAGAATAATTGACAATCTAGCTGTGTGAGACCCTTGGGAAAGAGTGACATAATATGTTAGAATTCTTCATTAAGATGGAAAGTGAAATAGTTGATTCTGAGTCTAGGACCCTTAATCAAAATACAGGAATCTTCAATGGTATTAGGTACAAGATGGCTATGACAATTCTGAAATGTTACTTAAAAGGGATAATAGTGCATAAACAGTGGCAAATGTTTAAATACAAAAGGAACTGCAAGAGTTGTTCAATCCCATCAGGCACAAAAACAAACTGCAAATGGTGGCCTGACCATGGTTAACAAGGAAAATTAGAGATAGTATTAGATCCAAGGAAGGGACATACAAATTGGCGAAGCAAATCATCAGACCTGAGGAATGGAAGCAAAGAGGACAAAGGGATTGATTCAGGTGGGGGCAGGAGTAAGCTTGCAGAGAACATGCAAACTGATTGCAAAAGCTTCTATAGGTATGTGAAAAGAAAACAAATAGTGAAGTCAAATGTAGATCACTCACAGTCAAAAACAATGCAAGTTAATGGAGAACAAAAGACATGGTAAACCAATTAAATGGATACTTTGGTTCTGTCATCATAAAAGAGGACACAAATAACATCCAAAAAAAATCAGGGAAGTAAGAGGAAGAAACTGAAGAAAATCAATATAGATATGAAAATGGTGTGGAGAAATTGATGGGATTAAAGGCCAATAAATCCTGAAAGCGTACAATAATCTATATTCCCCAGATTTCTTAAGGAAATGGCCCAGAAAATATTGGATTCTTTGTGGGTTATCTTTCACAAACCTATAGACTGAAACAGTTCTTATGGATTGGAGGGTAGCTAATGTAAACACAGTATTTAAAGAGGTAGAGAGCTACAGAGAATTATAACAAAAACAAAGTTGCCGGAAAAGCTCAGCAGGCAGCATCTGTGAAGGAAAAATCAGAGTTAACATTTCGGGTCTGGGTCACCGGATCTGAAACATTAACTCTGATTTTTTTCTTCACAGATGCTGCCAGACCTGCTGAGCTTTTCCAGCAACTTTGTTTTTGTTCCTGGTTTACAGCATGCACAGTTCTTTTGGTTTTTATTTGAACAGAGAATTATAGACCAGTTAG